TATAATCAGCAAAACGTACCAAGACAAAATTAATATAAAAATAAAAAGTTAGTTAAGACTAAACTAATGGAAAAATACATCTGAAATCTATTTAATGGTTATTTAAATGGTTGATAAGAGTTTTATGCAATCGCATAAAACTCTTATCAACCATTTAAGTAACCATTAAATAGATTTCAAATGTATTTTTTCATTAGTTTAGTCTTAATTAACTTTTTATTTTTATATTAATTTTGTCTTGGTACGTTTTGCTGATTATAACAAGTTCGCTTTTGACAAGGTTTGAAATAGAAAAAAAAATTGTCCCTTAAATGGTAACTGAAAAATATCTAACATAGTTTGTAAATGCATAGTATCTATCCAAAACAAACATGATAAAATTTATATAGATTTCTTAGAAGGAGAATGGAAAAAAGATAGTCAAAGCATAAACAGTCTTTTAAAACCAAATTCTACTGCTCCACAGTAGGTCAGAAGCCGGCAAAACCTAAAAAATAAAGTTTAAAAGATCTAATTTTTTTTCTTTTTAATATCAGTTAAATGTCTAATATACAATAATAATATTGTTTACGAAATACATTAATTTTTCATAGTATTAAATGACCGCAAAATTTTGGAGTTCCATTAGCAAGGTAATAATAAAAATTATTCTTTATTATTGCAGCGATATTTTTACATTCATTCTATTTTACAAGGTAATAAAAGCCTATGCTACATTTTTGTATATGTTTATTGACGTATAACTGATTATTAAAATGTTTTTATAAAAAATGTAACTGTTCTTTTTTAGTATACTCAACTGTACAAACTATTTTCAAATTATATAAATTCTCTATTTCGTTGTTTGTGTAAAAATAGTAGCATATAAAGCAATATAAAAAACTTGTAACTGATGTTATCAAAAGTACTTGATCACACTACTAGCATCAAACAGTAGCATTTTTTTGATCGTAACCGTGCTCGTGAACGGACGTACTTTTTTTCAAAATTAAAAATGGCAAAATTTACTGTTTCACAAATCAAGGAGCTGTTAGAGTTGCATGAAAGTACACTGTTGAAAATATTTAATGATAAGTTTGAAAAAATAGAAAACAAGCTCATTAGTATGCAAGTAGAAAATACAACTTTAATAAATGAAATCAGCGAATTAAAGAAGTCTGCTGAGTTCATAAATGAAAAATACGAAAAAACTTTAAACGAAGTGAATGATTCTAAAAAGAAAGCATCAACATCGAATTTAAACAAAACTAGCATAGAACTTGAACACAGCGATAATATAATTAAAGACAAACTAGCAGAATTGGAGGACCGCAGCCGGCGAAACAACTTAAGATTCAATGGGATCCAAGAAAGTGAAAATGAAACTTGGGAAGAAAGCGAAAACAAAAAATACACGAACTATTAAATTCAAGACTTGGTATTAATAACAATATAATAATTGAAAAAGCACATAGAACTGGAAAACTTGATTATGGTATAAAAATGAAACAATTTTTAATTTTTTTATTATGATTTGTTATTGCTTAAAAAAAGAAAATTAATTTGTTAATGGTAGCTGGTTTGAATATCTTAAAAGCAAAATACCATGGAGAACAACTAACCATAATAATAATTTTAGCAATTGTTCGACAGAAAAGAACTGAAAACTTAGGTTCTTTTTATTAAACAACCTTTGTGTCTTTAAATTTACATTTATTAAATAAATTTGTTTACAGAGCATGTTTTTTTTAATTTGCGATGATTTTCTGAGAATATACATTCATTATTATTTGTTTTAATTTTTTAATCTTCAAGTTTAATAAAAAGTTAGTTTATCAGTATTCTAAGAACATAAAAATTGGGAAAGAATCCGAATTAGAGACAAATGGACATAAAATTTATTGTTAAGCAAAAGAAAAGTTAAATAAAAATTTATTTCATAAGTTCATATTATTATATAAAAATAATTTCAAAATAATCAACAAATTGAAATTAAATCACTTAAAAATTAAACATTCTTCGTTTTTTTTTTTTTAATAGCTTTTCTTTAATAAAAGTATTTTTTCTTTTATAGATGCATTTCTTTTTTTCCAAATCGACTAACTCTTTTTTAGAAATGAAATAATTTCTTTCAGCTTGTAACTTTAAAACTTCTTCTTTAAGTTTTAACTTCTCCTCTGAAATGTAACTCTCCATATCTACAGTTGACAGGTGTAGACCCGGAGTTCTTTTTTCTTTGTTTCTGACGAAATAGATTGCACGCATATTTGCATACAGAAACCAAACGAGCACGAATATGCTTATGTTGATAGCTCATCAACTTATTCAATCAATGTCCAAGCGGTGTGTGACAACAAGGGAAAGTTCATTGATGTTGTTTCAAAATGGCCTGGGAGCACACATAATGCAAAAATTTTAAGACAGTTAAAACTTGGTAAAAAATTTATGGATGGAACTTTTAAAGGCTTACTTATTGGTGATTCCGGCTATCCGTGTTTTCGTTGGTTGCTGACGCCTTATTTAAATCCAACTACAGCATCTCAGCATAGATATAATATTTCTTTAGGAAAAACAAGAGTTATAATTGAACAAGTGTTTGGAAGGTGGAAAAAACGCTTTCATATGCTTCATGGTGAAATTTGAATGACCCCTGAAAGAGCCTGTACCTTAGTTGCTGCGTGCGCAGTATTGCACAAATTAGCAATACAGTTAAATGACGGAGACATGGGTGAAAATCCAATCGAAAATGATAAAAATGATAATGAAGATATATTAGCTGAAAACAATTTCCAATTACGTGATGATTTTGCTTTGCAACATATTTGAACGTATTTTATCTAAATAAATTTACTCATTTTCAAATTCCTTTTTTATAATAATAAATGGTTTATTAATTTTGTATTTGTTGTTAATTTGTGATAGAGCGATAGAGTTGTATAGAGTAATTCCATTTCATAGTTTTATGTAGCTCCAATTTAATTTTTATGATGGTGTTTATATATTTTTTAACTCTAAAAATATAAAAAGTTTAATTTAAAAATATAAAAAATTAGTACTTAGTACAAGTCTAAAACGGTTATTAGTCCTTAGTACAAGTCCTAAAACGGCTTATTAATTTAACTTGTTTAAATTAAGTTTAAAAAATTACGCAGCAAACATTTAAAAAAATCACGCTGTGATGTACCATCTAAACAATATTATGTG